GCGGCTTTAGAGGGCTCCACGGGGCTGCAGGGCTGAGAGAGAGAATGCTGCAAAGAGCAGCCCTCCAGGACTGCAGAAAGCCCCGGGAGGCATCTATCGCAGACCGTCCCCAGTAATCTCAGGGAAGCCCTGGTACAGGCCCAGCATCCCAGGCGAATACAGGTCCCAGGCCCGAGTCACCTGAAACAACCCCCCATCTCTACGCCAGAACACAATTATGGAAGAAAGTGTTTCACCAAGTGTAACATCAACAAAAGTGCCATGCCCTGGGACCATGACGTGGTTTCACCCCAGAACCATCCTTTGAATGGCAACGTGAGACCCTTCAGTGCAGACATTGAGTCTCCCGGAGACCTCAGCTCCACCAACCATCCAGTTGTTTGTTTTTTTTTTCAGGTTCTTACACCATTTACTTATTCATATATATATATATATATATATATATATATATTTTTTTTTTTTTAAATTGTTGACAGTACTACACATGTCCCACATTTTACCCCACTTTACCCCCCCCTCCACATAGCCCCTAACCACCCCCTCTCCCAAGGCCTTCACCACACTATTGTCTGTGCCCAAGGACTATACATACAACTATATAAGTTCTTTGGTTTATCTCTTCTTGTCCCCCACCCCCTGAGATATGTCAGTCTCTCCCACGCCTTGGGACTTATTTTGTTGGTCAATTTATTTTGTTCATTAGATTCCACAAATAAATGAGATTATATGATATGTGTCTTTCTCTGACTGGCTTATTTCACTTAGCATAATAGTGTCCAGGTCCCTCCATGCTGTCTCAAAGGATAATAGATCCTTCTTTTATATAACTGCATAATATTCCATTGTGTAAATATACCACAGCTTTTTTATCCACTCATCTACTAATGGACACTTGGGCTGTTTCAAAATCTTAGCTATTGTAAATAACACTACTCTGAACATAGAGATGCATATATTCTTTCTGATTGGGGTTTCAGGGTTTTTAGGATATATTCCTAGAAGTGGGATTACTGGGTCAAATGGAAGTTCTATTTTCAATCTTTTGAGGAAACTTCATACTGTTTTCTTCCTTTTTTTTCATACTGTTTTCCATAGTGGCTGCACCAGTCTGCATTCCCACCAGCAGTGAACTAGTGTTCTCATCCTCACCAGCACTTGACATTTGTTGATTTATTGATATTAGCCATTCTGACAAGTGTGAGGTGATATCTCTTGTGGTTTTAATTTGCATTTCTCTGATGATTGGTGACTTTGAGCCTTTTTTCATGTTTATTGGCCATCTGTATGTCCTTTTTTTTTATTTATTTTTTTTATTTTTTATTTTTTTTTATCCTCACCTGAGGACATTTTTCCATTTTTTGTTCAGATAGAGTGAGAGGGGGAGAGAGGAACAGAGAGAGAGAGAAACATCGATGTGAAAGGAACACATCGAGTGGCTGCCACCCGCATGACCAACCAGGGCCGGGGACAAACTGCAGCCAAGGTACGCGCCCTTAGCGGGAACCGAACCCGGGTCTCTCAGGACCGCAGGCCGACGCTCTAACCGCTGAGCCAAACCGGCCAGGGCTGTATGTCCTTTTTTGAAGAAGTATCTATTCAGGTCTTTTGCTCATTTTTTAATTGGATTGTTTGTCTTCCTTTTGTTGAGTTGCATGAGTTATTTATATATTTTGGAAATTAACCCCTTATCAGATGTATCATTGACAAATATGTTCTCCCATACAGTGGGTTCCCTTTTTATTTTAATGGTGGTTTCTTTGGCTGTGCAGAAGCTTTTTAGTTTGATGTAGTCCCATTTGTTTATTTTTTTTCTTTGTTTCTCTTGCCCTAAGAAATGTATTAGCAAAAATTCTGCTACATGAGATATCTGAGATTTTACTGCCTGTGTTTTCTTCTAGGATTTGTATGGTTTCATGACTTACATCTAAGTCTTTTTTTTTTTTAATTCTTACCCGAGGATATTTTTTCATTGATCTTAAGATAGGGTGGGAGGGAGGGAGGGAGAGTGAGAAAGAGAGAGAAACATCGATGTAAAAGAGATACATCAATTGGTTGCCTCCTGCACAGGGCCAGGGATCAAACTGCAACCGAGGTACATGCCCTTGACTGGAATCGAACCCATGACTCTTTGGTCTGCGGTCCAATGCTCTAACCTCGGAACCCAACCAGCCAGAGCTACACCTAAGTCTTTTGTCCATTTTGAGTTTACTCTTGTGTGTGGTGTAAGTTAGTGGTCTAGTTTCATCTTTTGCATGTAGCTGTCCAATTTTCCCAACACCCTTTGTTGAAGAGACTGTCTTTACTCCATTGTGTGTTCTTGCCTCCTTTGTCAAATATTAATTGACTGTAATTGTGTAGGTTGATTTCTGGAGACTGTCTTTACTCTATTGTGTGTTCTTGCCTCCTTTGTCAAATATTAATTGACTGTAATTGTGTAGGTTGATTTCTGGAGACTGTCTTTACTCCATTGTGTGTTCTTGCCTCCTTTGTCAAATATTAATTGACTGGCCCTGGCCAGTTTGGCTCAGCGGTTAGAGTGTCGGCCTGCGGTCCGGAGAGACCCGGGTTCGGTTCCCACTAAGGGCACGTACTTCGGTTGCAGTTTGTCCCCGGCCCTGGTTGGTCGTGCGGGTGGCAGGCACTCGATGTGTCCCTTCACGTCGATGTTTCTCTCTCTCTCTCCCTTCCTCTCTCTCCCTCCCACTCTATCTGTACAAAAAATGGAAAAATATCCTTGGGTGAGGATAAAAAATAAATAAATAAACAAATATTAATTGACTGTAATTGTGTAGGTTGATTTCTGGGGTCTCTGTTCTGTTCCACTGGTCTATATGTCTGTTCTTGTGCCAGTACCAGGCTGTTTTGATTACATGGCTTTGTAGTATAGTTTGATATCCAGTACTGTGATTTCCTCCAACTTTGTCTTCTTTCTCAAGATTGCTGAGGCTATTCAGAGTCTTTCTAGTTCCATATAAATTTTTGGAGTATTTGTTCTAGTTCTGTGAAGTATGCCACTGACATTTTTTTTTTTAATCCTCACCCAAGGACATTTTTGCATTTATCTTCAGATACGGCAAGAGGGAAAGAGGGAGGAAGAGGGAGAGAAACATCACATTGATGTGAGAGAGACACATCGACTGGTTGCCACCCACATGACCCAACTGGGATGGGGACAAACTGCAACTGAGGTACATGCCCTTAACAGGAACTGAACCCAGGACTCTCTGGTCCTCAAGCTGATGCTCTAACCACTGAGAAAAACTGGCCTGGGCACTACTGTTATTTTAATAGGGATTGTGTTGAGTCAATAGATTGCTTTGTGTAGTATCGACATTTTAATGATGTTAATTCTTCCAATCCCTGGACACGGCATACACATCCACTTGTTTGTTTCTTCCTCTATTTCTTTTTCCAATGTCCTGCAGTTTTCCAAGTACTGGACTTTTACCTCCTGCCATCTCTCAGCCTGCCGGGATTGGTGTAACGCAATGAAACTACAACCACACGCTGGTTGGAGTGAAGGGGAGATTTGCAAGGTAGCAGATGCTCCAGCTCTCTGGACGCAGTCCCATTTATTTGCAGGCTGGTACCCCCAGGTCACAAGTGGATTTAAGTAAATTATTTCCTTGAGATAGCATTACTGCAGTCACCCTAGCTTTGTCTCTTGCTTTTTTACGGGAAGAGACCTTGAAGCCAAAAGATAACAAACCCTTATTCACATGCAAATGACTCGCCCAACACACCTGGTCGGGTCAGGTGTTCTCCCCACCCCACCCCACCCCATTCCGAGAATGCATTAACACAAGGTTAAAAAATGTCCATCTTCCAACCCCCCAACCCCACAACCTCCTTGGTTACATTTATTTCCAGGTATCTTTTGTTGTTGTTGTTACAATGGTAAATGGGCATTTTTTTTTTTTTAGTTTCTACAAAAAATCAACAAGGAAACAGCATTCTTGAATGACACACTAAATCAGATAGATCTAACTGATATTTACAGAACATTTTATCCCAAAGCAGCAGAATATACATTCTTCTCAAGTGCACATGGAACATTCTCAAAGATAGACCCTATGTAAGGACAAAAAACAAGTCTATACAAATTCAGAAAGGTTGATATCATACCAAGCATCTTCTCTGATCACAGTGGCATGAAACTAGAAATCAACTACAATAAAAAAATTTAAAAACACTCAAATACACGGAGGCTAAATAGCATGTTATTAAACGATGAATGGGTTGCCCGAGAGATCAAGCAAGAAATGAAAAACTGCCTGGAAACAAATGGAAATGAATACACAAAAACCCAAAACCTAGCGGACCAGTGAAAGCGGTCCCGAGAGGGAACTTCATAGCATTACACGGCTACCTCAAGAAACAAGAAAAAGCCCTAATAAACCATCTAACCCTACAAGTAAAAGAATTATAAAGAGAACACCAAGAAAAGACCAGAAGGTAGAAAATAATAAAGATCAGAATGGAAATAAATGACACAGAGACAAAATACAAAGGATCAGTGAATCTAAGAGTTGGTTCTTGGAAAAGATAAACAAGAGTGATGAACCCTTAGCCAGACCCATCAAGAAAAAAGAGAGAGAGAACCCAAATAAATAAAATCAGAAATGAAAGAGGCGATATAACAACAGACTGACAGAAACACAAAGAATTGTAAGATTCTCTGCCAAGCTGACACGCAGCCCAGGACTGAGACACATGGATCATGAGCAGAACCCACCCCGGACAGCCACCTCAGAGGCAGCGTCTTCAGTGTGTCGCGCACGCCTCGGTGCTGCTCAGCCCTCTTAGCGGTGAGTGAAGAGGAGAAGGATACTGCTTACCGAAAGTATTTAGGTCAAACTCCCACTGAGAGGAATTGAGCGAAGGCAAGTCCAGAGGCCCAAATCCCTTTTCTTATAAAGCCAATCACAAGGGAATTCCACACATGCCAGATTGCCTTAGTCTGTTTGGGCTGTTAGCTTGAAAATACCATAGCTGGGTGGCTTCAACGACAAACATTTATTTCTCCCTGTCCCGGAGCCTGGGAGTCCAAGATCGAGGCCCTGGTAAGTTCAGCATCTGGTGAGGACCTGCTTCCCGGTTCATGGATGGCCGTCTTCTTGCTCTGTCCTCCCGTGGGGGTCTATCTGATAAGGGAATTAATTCCATTTATGAGGGCTTCACCCTTATTACTCCCAAAGGCCCCACCTCCACATAACATCACAGTGGGCTTTGGGATTTATCATATGAATTCTGGGAGGACACAAACATTCGGTCTCGAGCACAGATCTTAGAAGGTCTCCAGCCCTGGGCTCTCACACCTCTCGGCCAGTTCACAAGGAGGAGCCAGCGTACACGGTGGAGTGATGAGGACGCGCAGGAGCAGGGAGGGAGGGCCAGCCCACGGAGGCGCCATCCCCCACTCGAGCCTCAGCATGGGGAGCCCGAGTGCTGTAAGGAAGAGCCAGAGTCACAAAGACACCAAGCTAGCTGCAGCACCTGCTGAGACGGGGCAGCTAGGGGCAGCTGTGACATTATGGCAACTGTTGTAGACCAACGAGACAGAGCAGACTCAGACTCCGAACTGGGTTCAAATGCAGAGAGCTTTATCAGCCGCGCGGCGACTGTCCCATCCTACGCAGAGGAGAGAGCAGCCCCGAGCTCAGGGGGAGGGCTGCTTGTACAGGTGTCTTAGCCCCTGTTAAGGAATTTGCGAGCAAGCATGTACAGAAGCAGATATGTGCAGTTGGCTGTTATGCCTGAGGGAGCAATCAGTTTCTGTGTACACAAAGCAATGGTTATCTATACAATGCAGTGGTTATCTATTAGCAGATAGTTCTTGCCATTTCCTTCAAATCCAGGGGGCAAGGTCACGTGTTTGTCTTTTATACAACCTGTTTTCCAAATTTACCGGCTGCCTGATTATACTAGAGAAGCGGTTTTCAACCCTGCATTCCATACGCTGGTCTCAGACCTTCGTCCCAGTCTCCACAGCCCTCGGGTGAGTTTCCTCCCATCCAGATGCCCAGCCCTAGCTCCCGGGACCCCCCTTGGACATTCTTCCATGGGCCCTGCTTGTCCCACAGAAGGGCTTGGACATCGAGACACAGAGGCAAGCTGAAGGGTTAGCGGGAGCAGTTAGTTACACAAGAGCAGAGAAACAAGATTCGCCGTGGCAAGCTGCCCGTCATTCCTGTGAGCCAGCCCTGGAGCCGTGCCCGGGCACCGCAAGGCTGAACCCAGACGCCCACACCACGTTCAGCTCTGGACGAGAACAGCAGAGACTGGTAGCAACTGAAGAGGAGAAAGTCAGGTTTAGAAAAAAACAAGCGAACTTAGTTATACTGCGTTCAGATTTATTTTGTTAATTATTTTCCCTTGATTGATTTTAGAGAGAGAAGAAGTGAGAGGGAGAGAGAAACATCGATGAGAGAGAACATCGATTCGCCCCCTGCATGCCCCTCACTGGGATCGGGACCACGACCTGGGCATGTGTCCTGACCAGGAATTGAACTAGTGACCTCTTGCTGCAGGGGTCGACGTTCAACCACTGAGCCACACCAGCCATAACAAATTTATTTATTTAAAATCATATCTACATTGTGCAATGAAAAATGATTTGCTGAAGACTTTTTAATTGAGGGTCTTTTTTTAAACAAACAAACAAACAAACATGAGTTTCTAGAACAGGAGTAAGCAAACTCTTTCTGTAAAGGGCCAGATAATAAGTGATTTTAGGCTTAGTGGACTTGTCACTACTGTTCAGCTGTGCGACACAAGGCAGCTCTGGAGACCAGGTGGACGAGCGGGTGTGGGTATGTTCCCGAGAAACTCTGTTCACACGAATCGGCAGTGGGCCAGATCGGGCCAGTGGGCTTGTCAACCTGTTTTACATACTGAAATTCAATCAGGTATGAATATGGGGATTATCTACACCGTGAGGTCGTAAATTGAGAGCCACAATCCATCTCAGGCCGCTTTCTCTAGCGGCACATAGAAAAATCAGAAGTAAACAATTTTGCAGTTTCACATCTACAATCCTGCAACTCCAACTTCTGCTGAATGAGTCAGAGAGCCATACAGATGTAGAAAACCTCACCCTCTGTAGCTAGTGTTTGTTTCCTGATCCTCTAGATCACGAGTATATGAAATAAGGTCTTCATTTGAGTGAAGCCTTTAAATGGATTCCCTGCTCCTCCCTTGATTGTCTTAGATCTAATTCTGTTGTGGAAAATTATGTTGAGGGTGTTAGCATTCGCATTGGTGTTATTTTTAACGCTCTTGGAATTTAACAATCACTGTTTGTGAAGGATAAAATAATGAGCAAATATTGGGTAAGTCATTCTAGAAAAGGGACTGGTCTGGGATTAGAGATAAAAGTGTAAGTTTGTGGATTGGTGTTTTGGTTGCAAATGATAGAAAACCCAAGTCAAATTGGGTTAAACCAAAAAGAGAATTTATTGGCAAAGGTATATGGCTTGATATACGGACTCAAGCATCGCTGAGACCCGGTTTCTCTATCTCGGCTCTGTTCTCCATGTTGGCTTCCTTCCAGGGCTCTATATACTCCCCAGTGGCCACCAGCAGCTGCAGAGCAGCATCCTCCCGGTTCAAGGTTAGTGAAAGAGAGAGAAGCCTCGCCCCCAAAGTCCCAGCAGAGGTCTCCTGGCACCCCGTGGCTCTACCTGGGCTCCATGCCCCCCGCTGATCCAAGGCCATGGCCGGGGCCTTGCCGTGTCCCAGCTGTGCCCACGCCGCCATGCAGGGCAGCCACAGGACAGAGTAAACGGCCTGGACACGTGCCTGGTTGCTGGGGATCAGGGTGGTTTTCAAGGGGAAAATGAGCGAAGGTTACATGGATTCGAAAGGCCAAGTCAAGAGCTGCACCTCCACTCACTCGGACCTTCTCGTGAAAGACCCTGTTGGCCTCGTCCACTCCTGCCAGATAGGCGTTGCCCCCTGGCTGTCTCTGGGCATCGTCCCTTCTGCAGAGCCGGCTGCTCATCGGACCTCGACGCCCGAAGGGCCAGGTCAAGCCCTCCTGCTCAGCCGACCTCACTTGCGAGGAGGGTCACCGGGGGCCAGCAGGCGGCCTCAGCGGTGCCTTTCTCCTCCCAAAGCGCCTGGGGCCCCAGCAGCTGCCTGAGCACCGAAGAGTTTCAACTCCTGTGTTTGAGGGAGCATCATGGGTTCCCAGAGAATCCACATTCTTTTTTCAATTTTTTTTTTATCCTCACCTGAGGACATTTTTCCATTCTTTGCTCAGATAGAGAGGAAGAGAGAGAGAGAGAAACATCGACGCGAAAGGGACACATCGAGTGGCTGCCACCCGCACGACCAACCGGGGCCGGGGACAAACTGCAACCGAGGCACATGCCCTTAGCAGGAACCGAACCCGGGTCTCTCTGGACCGCAGGCCCACACTCCAACCGCTGAGCCAAACCGGCCAGGGCTCTTTATTCCAATTTTTATTAATTTATTTTGTTACAGATATTTCTCCCCCACACACACTCCCTCCTCCCCATCCCCCCCCCCCAGCATTGCTGTCTATGTCCATTGGTTATGCATATATGCATATAAGTTCTTTGGTGAGAATCCGTATTCTTAAAACAAATTCCTCTCCTTGCTTGAGCTAATTACTAGGACTAGATTTCCATAACTGGAAACACAAGGGTCACAAACAATCCCTGTGAGTGTGTCGGGTGTGTTCTGTGACCCGCAAGCTGGAGTGTATATGGGGTGACACATGATTCCAGCCGGGGAGGGGGGCCGAGGCCGCCGGCTGTGCAGCTGAAGCTGGGGAGCCTTGGGGGGTACCACAGTGGCTTTCGGGTGGGAGAAGGTGGCAGAAGCCAGACCAGGCCGATGAGTGCAGGGACCAAAGTCAGCAGCAGTGACTTCTGAGGAGGAAGTCTTGGCTTTCTTCAGAGCAGCAGTTACTCAAATTTGTCAAATTATGAAACATTTGCCGCAACGGAATGAACCTTGGTCCCTGGCAGTAACCAGAAACGGGAAGGGCTGGGGAGGGTGGGAATCTCTGTCCATCAGCAGGCAGGGCTTGGAGGCCCCACCCTCCCCAGAGCCAGCTGATATCCCTGTCTTTCTCTTTTTTTCTTATTCTTTCATCAGGCGTTGAGAAGTTAATTTTTCTCTACTAGAGCGACTTCACTTCTTTTTTTATCCTGGAAGGATACCCAAAGGAGCTGACCCCAAGTTGCCATGAACTCTGCCACCTCCAGCTGTGAGCACCCCGACCTCTTGGTGAGTGCTGGCCAGAGAGGGGGGGTCAGAGGGGGCCCCGGACACAAGGAAGGAAGGGGCCTGGACGGGGTCCCAGGAGTCCTCATGCCCTGATTCATCATTAGCTCTGAGGATGATGGCTTATGATCTGAGGATTTTTAGATCTTTATCTCTTTTTTTTGTTTATTTTTTATCCTTACCTGAGGACATTTTTTTTTTTTCATTTATCTTCAGATAGAGTAGGAGGGAGAGAATAAGGAAGAGAGAGAGAGAGAAACATCGATGTGAGAGAGACACATCGAGTGGTTTCCACCCACACGACCCCAACCTGGGCTGGGGACAAACTACACCGAGGTACATGCCCTTAGCGGGAACCGAACCCGGGACTCTCTGGTCCGCGGGCTGATGCTCTAACCGCTGAGCCAAACCGGCCAGGGCAGATTTTAGATCTTTAGACAAGGGTGGTGGCCACACTCTCACCTGCCGCCACCAGGGGCGAAGATTCCTCCCTGAGTGCTGACCTGAATGAATCATCACGAAGGCAGGAGGAAGAGGTGGAAAATTCTCTGCTTGACCTTTACTCACAGCTTGGTCTTGGTTGAATCTAAATGTTTGTTTTCCAGGTTTCTCAGGGTTATGGTTTCTTTGACCAGAAGCCCTTTCTGAAACAAAGCCAAAGGAAAGAGGGAAGCAGAGAGCGAGAACTGATAGTTACTGAACAACCAAAACACCCCAGGCACCTCATGTGTTTCCCCCCCGTTCCTTTGAAGCTCATGAAGCAAGTTCTTTTGTCCCCATTTTACAGATGGGGAACCTGAGGCCCAGAGAAGTCGGGGTAACCCAGCTAGAGACCTCTCTAGCTAGTCTTCGAGCCCTGGCCCTACCACGTCTCCAACCTGTCTGGCCACCTGAAAATAACAGGGGGACTGAGAGGGCCCCTCTGCTCTTGCCACTGCCTGTCACAGACAGAAGGGCCCCACCCCACCCCGCCCCGCCCCAGGCCAGTTCTTCTGGAAAAGCATGGGGGGTACCTGAGAGAACTCTCCTCTCTTCTCCTCAGAATAATTTCTGCCACTAGTTCATGAAAGCCAAAAATACAAAAACAAAACGAATCTTAAGAAATAAGTGGAGGACTCCCTTTTCTGAAGGCTGTGATGTTTTCCACATTTTTGGCTTACCTGAGGCCGGTTGGAGAGTGGAGGCATGTGTCCGTCTTCTTTGAGTGGCCCGTCTCCTCTCTGTTTTCTTTTTTTATTAATATTTATTTATTTTTTGTGGGACATGCCCCTAGCGGGAACCGAACCCGGGACTCTCTGGTCCGCAGGTTGATATTCAACCGCTGAGCCAAACTGGCCAGGGCATCTCTCTGTTTTCTTTAAAGCCTCACTTTTAGCACCAGATCAAAGAAGTCACTGTTCTGCGATGTTTTGGGTTTTCATGTGTATGTCGCTCTGCTAGAAACTTCCAGAGATACAGACATGGGTGAGATAGCTTCCCGACACTGGTAGCTAATGGCTTAGCTGGGGGAAAGCAGGGTACACAGAAATATTTCTAATACAAGGGAGAAAATGGTTAAGTACATAACAGGGGGACAAAATGTTCCAGGAGTGGGAGGAAGGAAATTCATACAGGGTGGGGCCCTGAGAGAGGGGATGGAGGAGACACTGAGCCGTTGGGTGCAGGGGCACTGCCGAGTGGGAAGCACAGGACAGGACGAGCAAAGGCACTGGGGCAGGATAATGGAAGCCCTGTTTGGAGAGACCTGGGCAATCCCTTGCCTAGAGCCCAGTAAATGGGAGTGTTAGGAAATGAACCTAGTGGGCCAGGTGGGGGATGGAAGGCTGGGTGTGTGTGGATGGAGTCAGAGAGAAAGGGATCCGTCTTCCCCTGACCACCCCTTCCCGCGGCTGCTGTCCCTGCACCAGTCTCCTGCTCTGCTTGTCTGCTCCTGGGAGCTGGAGGGCTCCCCTGTATGCACAAGGGACAAACCTGCAGGCAACGGCCCTCGACACCAAAAGAGGAGGGTGCCATTCTCCCATTTACAATGGCACCTTGGGCAAGTCTCACTTAGCCTCAGCCTCCTCATCTGGAAATTGGGGTGGTAAGATGACGGTGCGAATCAAATGAGAGGATGCATTGGAAGCTCTTTGTAAACTGCAAAGCCCCCGCAAATGGTAAGGCTCACCAAATGCCTCTCTTGGTGGCATTACAGCCGGTGTGCTGAGCTGGGAAACGCACCTGCAGCTGGAAGAGGTGTGGCCCCTCGTCTCACACCAGTGCTCGTCAGCAGGGGGCGCTTCATTAAGAATTCATTCTCCCAAACGGGGCTCCCAAGCTTCCTGGGCTGCTGTGTGAGTCCCAGGCAGCGCCTTCTCCCGGCAGGCAGGGCTTTCTCCAGGGGTAACCGTGCTCCCCACGTGGGATAGGCTCCGAGAGGGGGCGTCTTCCACCTCCTTCCGCTCAGTGTCTCTGGGATGCCACTTGTCCCTGTGGGGGTCTTCCGCGTGCTAATGACCCCTCCTGACACAGGAACCTTCAGGCGCTCTATGTATCTGCCTTTTTCTTGTCTGTTTGTCCCATCCCTCCGCACGAGTGACAGGAGGTAGTTGACAACAGAAGCCATGTTTCCAGCAGGTCTGTGCTTTGCAGAGCCGGCTTCAAACCGCACACCCTGCTGCTGTGTGGCTGCCCGGGATTGTCGGCCAACCCATCGACCCAGGCAGCCCTCCATCGCTCTCTCCTTCGTCCTCTCCTCTGTTTTTCGGCCTGTGTTTACCTCCGTTGCGCTCACTGATTCCTTTCTACCATCACTAAAACCTCATCAAACGTGCTCAGGCTTCTCAATGAGCCAGAGCAACCCAGCCGAGGCTCATTCCCCTGCCCTTCCTCGTTTCGCTGTCCCCAGCTTTACTAAGCACCCTCCGAAATTCAAACTAAAGAAAGAAAAGCAAAGAAAGTGGGCAGGGGCCGGAGTTCCCTTCAGCACCCTCTATTCTAACTGGGGCTTGGCTTCGACCTGCCCGGGCAGACACGGCCTTTCACGAGCAACCCAGTACCAAGTACCAAGCATCCTTTTCCGAAATCTAAATAGGATAAGCATAATGTGTCAAAAGAGATCTAACAAGTTGGGGACTTATCTTAAAAAAAAATAAATGAGCCCTGGGCGGTTTGGCTCAGTGGTTAGAGCGTCGGCCTGCGGTCCAGAGAGACCCGGGTTCAGTTCCCGCTAAGGGCATGTACCTTGGTTGCAGTTTGTCCCCGGCCCTGGTTAGGTCGTGTGGGTGGCAGCCACTTGATGTGTCCCTTTCACATCGATGTTTCTCTCTCTCTCTTTCTCTCTCTCTCTTTCTCTCTCTCTCTTTCTCTCTCTCTCTCTTTCTCTCTCTCTCTCTCCCTCCCTCCCACTCTATCTGAACAAAATATCAAAAAAATGTCCTCAGGTGAGGATAAAAAATAATAATAATAAATGAGAAAATTTTTCAATAGTCAGGAATTTATACACTCATCCATTTATTTAATCAGTCCACAGAGAGTTATATGAGCTCTAACTAAATGCTAGAGAGGGAAATAGAGGTGTCAGGGGACTTTATGGTCTTTTGGACAAAGAAATAGGACTGCAGTGAGGCCTGTGGGGCCGTGTTTTGTAGGAGGCTCTGAGGAGGGGACACCTAGTCTCATCTGAGGCCAGGGTGAGGGGAAGTCAGGGAAGGCTTCCTGGAGTAGGTGAGGGAGGCAAGCTTCCAAGCATCGCTAAACAGACGAGCAGAGGCAGACACCTTAGGTCTGTGTTTTAGGACCTAAATGTTCGAAGGTTAATGAGCAGATGCTCTTCAGAGTCCCAGGGACAAAGGGACTCTGCAGAGCTCGGCCGTGGCTGGATCAGTCTGTCAACCACCACCAGCAAGCCTGACCGCAGTCCTGGGTGCCCCAGGCTCAGCGCTGTGTCTCCAAGGCCAGGGTGGGTGCCACAGGCAGGCAGGCGAAGGAATGAGGTCAGTGCTCTAACCTCATGGAGGAGGCCTGGCTTCCGGTCTCCACACAGGAGATGGCTCGTGGTTCCATTCCCCGCCCCCCTCCCCACACAGGCGGCCGGTCCCTGGTTAGCGCTCCCATGGCTGGGAACTGGCAATACCCTTAATACAGTGGTCCTGAACGGCAGCAGTTGTACCCCCTGGGGACATCTGACAGAGAACAGCTTTGGTGGTCACAACCGAAGGGGAGAGGGTGCTACTGGCATCGAGTGGGTAGAGGCCAAACGATGTTGCTTAACATCCTGCCACGCACAAGATAGTCACACACACACACACACACACACACACACCCCACAACAAAGAATTACCCTGCCAATGTCAATGGCACAGAGGTTGAGAAGCCCTGTCTTAGACTCAGGTTCCCTAAGGACCAGCTGACCTGGAGATGGTGTGGACAACCATCCAGTTCTTTTTTTTTTTTCTGTGGTACGTGCCCCTAGCAGGAACCGAACCCGGGACTCTCTGGTCCACAGGCCGACACTCAACCGCTGAGCCAAACTGGCCAGGACAACCATCCAGTTCTTGATCTGGTGGCTTTCTTGCCTCTCTTCACTTCTAAGTGAATGATGACCCCCTCATCCCCCCATCCCCTCCCCCACTGCTCGGGAGCAGGGCCACCGATCTGCCCGGTGCAGGGCCCAGCGCCCACAATTCCCTCAGGGGCCTGGGAAAGTGGTTTCATGTCTTTGAAAATCCGAAGAAAAAAATGGAACTTTTATATCAAGGGAAATGTTTGGATATATAATAACATACGTGTCTTTATACCAATACAATCACAAGATACAATATTACATTATTTTTATGGAAGAAGGGGCACATAGCGTAGAACCGTGTAGTGCCCACGAGGGTCATGGTGCAGCCCTGACTGAGAAGTCGTTTTTGAGGCTGTGGGGAAGTAAAGGGTGCTTAGGTGTTGGAGTTCCATCTGGAACTTTCTCCGTGAGAAGCCTGGCTGTGCCACTGTGCAGACCCTGCCCTCTGTGGTCTTGTCGGGACCCAGGACCCCTCTGGGCACACCAGCTAGAGTTGCCTGATTTCTATGCTGATGGCCTTCCAACCTCCTGGACACACCAGGGACATTGTTCTCATGTTCCCCTTACCCGCAGCCAGATGGTCAAATGTCAGCCCTGAGTATGAGCTTAAATCCTTTGAAACACGAGACGGGAAGCTCGTTGTAATTACAACAATTAATATTTATTGAGCAACACACTATGCCAGGCATAGGCCTGTGTGCTTCCGGCTTCCATTTTTTCCAGCTTTATTGAAATGCAGTTGACATGTAATATTGTATAAGTTTAAGGTGTCCGATGTGTTAATTTGATATACTGATGGGGTTGCGCAATGATCACCAACTTAGCACTGGCTCAATTGCCTCACATCACATAATTATCATTTCCTCATTGTGGTGAGAACACTAAGATCTGCTCTCCTGCCCTGGCCGGTTTGGCTCAACGGTTAGAGTGTTGGCCCACCGGCCAGAGAGTCCCCGGTTTGGTTCCCATAAGGGCACGTACCTCGGTTGCAGTTTGTCCCCGGCCCTGGTTGGGGTCTTGTGGGTGGCAGCCACTCGATGTGTCTCTCTCACATCGATGTTTCTCTCTCTCTCTTCCCCCCTCTCTCCCTCCCGTTCTGTCTGAAGATAAATGCAAAAATGTCCTCAGGTGAAGATAAAAAAAAAATCTGTTCTCCTAGCAACTTTCAAGTACATAATACAGTATTGTTAACTATAACCATTATGCTGTACATTAGATCCCCAGAACTTATTTGTTTTATAATATTTATTTATATCCTTTGACCAACATCTCCCCATTGCTTCATGCTCTAATTTAATTTTCCCAACTATCTATGAAGTAGGTTTTTCAGTTTTGCTTTGTTTTAATTTTTTTAAATTAATTTAGTTTTGTTACAGATGTTTCTCCTTTTCCCCCCATTGACACCCTCTTCCCCATCACCCCCACCCCACTCCATCCCCAGCATTGTTGTCTATGTTCATGGTTGCACATACATGCATATAAGTTCTGTGGTTTATCTCTTCCTTCCTCCCCACCCCCTCTTCTGAGTTTTGTCAGTCTGAACCCTACTTCTATGACTCTGAGTCTATTTTGTTCCTCAGTTTGTTTTGTTCACTATGTTCCACAAATAAGAGTGATCATGTGATATTTGTCTTTCTCTGTTTGGCTTGTTTCACTTAGGGTAATACTCTCCAGGTCCCTCCATGTCATCCCAAAGGATAAGAGATCTTTCTTTCTTACAGCTGCATAGTACTCCATTGTGTATATGTACCACAGCTTTTTTATCTGCTCATCTACTGATGGACACTTGGGCTGCTTCTAGATCTTAGCGATTGTAAATAGTGCTGCTACAAACATGGGGGTACATATATTCTTTCTGATTAGTGTTTCAGGCTTCTTAGGGTATATTCCTAGAAGTGGGATCACTGGGTCAAATGGCAGTTCAATTTTTAATTTTTTGAGGTAACACCATATTGTTTTCCATAGCGGCTGCACCAGTCTGCATTCCCACCAGTAGTGTACTAGAGTCCCCTTTTCTCCACACCCTCGCCAACCCTTGTTGTTTGATGATTTGTTGATGGCATGCAGTAGGTATTTTTGACATTTCTGTTATTTAAATCAGACATTTGAGGCTTCAAAATATTAGCAATGTGCCCAGGATTAGTAAGTTATACAGCCAATAAGTTGGAGAGAAAAGTTTAGAATTAATATTTAATTTGGGGTTAACCGGTAGAAGGAATGTAAGTTGACTGTTGCCTCCAGAGCCGTCTGTCTGCACTGCCCTCATCTGCGCCTGTGTGTCATCCGTTCGTCCTCCATTCATTCGGTCTGCACTGGGCACAGGCAGGCCTTGCCACAGCTCAGAGGAAGAGATGGGTGAGGAAACCATTCGTGTCAGAAACGTGCTGTGAAAGGGCCTTGGCAGATGTCAGCACCGGGCCTGGGGGCAGCTATTCCGTTCTGAGACCAGGATCCCCATTTTCCTGACTGGCTGGGAGGAAACCTGCCCATTTTCCTGGACAGAGGTGCTTCTCTGCCAGGGCTTTGGCACGGCCTCCACCCCTCTCGCACGCCCGACTTCCCATGGAGGCCCTGCGGCAGAGGTAGGATACAGAAAGCCATTGGTCTTTTGAGTTTGGACCTAGAAACGCCGAGCTGGCCCACCGTTAACCCTACCCCATCGCCTCTGGCCTCGGGAGCCCATCCATCTGAACGGTGGGAATCAGGAAATCCACAAGATTCCTCTGGAAGTGCCCAGATGTGTCCTTTTGTTCCCAGCAGAGCGGTGACGACAGGAAGGAGGATGACCATCCCAGGAGTCCCAGCAGCAACCAGCTGGCCTATCACATCCTGGACATTCCACCCTGGTATCTCTGCATCTTGCTGGGGACCCAGGTAATGCCACCCAGCTAGCACTGGGCCCAAAGAGGCTCTGCCTCAAAAGCCACATTGATACACAGCCAGGTCAAATTAGTCAGGATCGCACTCCAGCTGTGGATATTCCTGTCTTCCGTGCCCTGACCTGCAGGGGAACTCAAGGTTTTCTCTCTCAGGAGTTCGGGGGTGGGGAAGGAATTAGGGAGGATTCTCTCCCTGGCTGGGCTGATAGGTTACAGTAACTGTTACACTAGGGACACCTACTGGGACATTGATTATTCTGTAAAGATGCCCATTTTAATTACTTTGACTGGCAACAATGACAAAGTTTGATAATGAATGTCTGGGAAATTTTTGGAAACAGTTATTCTCAAATGCTTCTGTTGGAATATTATTTGCTACAACCTTTCTAAGTGATAAGTTGGTGATTTCAACTAACATGTAACACATGTCTACCCTTTAACCTTAAGAATTTCTCTGAGGATATGCTGATTAGACTTGTTAAGATAAGTACAAGGATGGTCTTTTAGCATTAGTGATAATAGTAAAATCAAAATCACGCAGCAAACAAACAAAACCCTAGAAACAACCAAAATACGCATCATAGGAAACCGGTTAAATAATTTCTGACACAACCTAACACATGAAGTTTTTGCAGCTGTAAAAAAGAGAAGTATAACCCAGCTGGTGTGGCTCAGTGGTTGAGTGTCGACCCATACACTAAGAGGTTGCTGGTTCAATTCCTGGTCAGGGCACATGCCCAGGTTGTGGGCCAGATCCCCAGTGGGGAGCATGCAGGAGGTGGCCGATGGATGTTCTCTCTCATCGATGTTTCTGTCTCTCCCTCCCTCTCTCTCTAAAATCAAAAAAGAAAAAAAATTTTTTTAAATACAACACTTGGTTTCATTGATCTTTTCTATTGCTCTTCTGGTCTCTTTAACCTATTTTTGCTCTGATTTTTGTTATTTCCTTCCTTCTGCTAACTTTGGGCTTAGTTTGCTCTTTTTCTAGCCTCTCAGGTATGATTTCAATCTTCTTAAATTTGCTATGGCTGTTTTGTGACTCAACATATGATCTATTCTGGAGATTGTGTTCAGGTCTTCCCGGTCCGTGGTCCTGCCCTTACCTTGTGCCTTGTTTTTAATTTTTTAAAAATATGTTTTTATTGACTTTTTTTTAGAGGGAGAGAGAGGGAGGGAGGGAGAGAGAGAGAGAGAGAGAGAGAGAGAGAGAGAGAGAGAGAGAGATGGATGTGAGAGAGAGACATCGATCCGAGGTATGTGCCCTTGATCAGAATCAAACCCACCACTCTTTGGTCTGCAGGGCTACGCTCCAACTGCTGAGCCAAACCAGCCAGGGCTTGTGCCTTGTTTTAATAGGAACCTCTCACCTGCTCTTGTTCTTAAAGCTCCCTCCTTGGTCCCGGTTATGTCCTCCTGTGCTGTGTTCCTGACTTGCTTTCTTAGCCAGGACGTCAGTGTCTGGCACTAGGTTCCTACCCTTCAACTCCAGACCCTCTGGCTAGTTCCCTGCTTCTGGCTTCCAGGCCTCGGTTCCTGCTGCTTGCCTCGATCTGTGCCTGTCCCTCGTGGCCAACTCCCTGGAGACCAGAGGTGGAGCCCTTGCCCCTGGCCGAGGGATGGGAATGAGGGTGGAACAGGCATGCGCAGCAGCAGTGCCCATCCGTTCTCTCTGCTCCGCCCACAGCACTTCCTCACTGCCCTGGGGGGGCTCGTGGCAGTGCCCCTCATCCTGGCCAAGGGCCTGTGTCTGCAGCATGACCCCCTCACCCAGGGCTACCTCATCAGCACCATGTTCTTCGTCTCCGGCATCTGCACTCTCCTGCAAGTGTTCTTCGGAGTCAGGTGGGTACAGCTTCTCCCCGTGGGTTCTCGCTTACCCACCAGGGGACCAGCAAGGTGTGCTGGATTGTAGCCAGGAAGGTGGCTAGGAAGCCGGTGGGGCGTGATAGACAGAACACGGGGCCAGGAGTCAGAGCCTGGGTTCAAGCCCAGCACGTGCTGTCTGTATTAGCTAGGATTCTTGTTTAAAATAACATGAATCCAGATCAGTTTAGGCAAACATTTGTTCTTTATTAACTTATAATATCAAGCCCGGAGAAAGGCAGGTTGCGTAATGCACCAGGAACATGTTGAACCAGGGCCTGACATGCCGCCAGGACTTTCTCTCCATCTCTTGTCTCTACTGGGCCTGCCCCTAGTATCGGTAAGACCCAGAGCGAGACGGACGGAGACCCACACGCTCCATGTCTACATACTGGAGAGTTCTAAACCAAGCATACAAATTCTTTTTTTTTTTTTTTCTTTATTGATTTTTAGAGAGAGAGGGAGAGAGAGATAGAAACATCAATGAGAGAGAACATCGACTGGCCGCCTCCTGCACGCCCCCCACTGGGGATCTGGCCCACAACCTGGGCATGTGCCCTGACCGGGAATCAAATCGGTGACCTCTTGGTGCATGGGTCGATGCTCAACCACTGAGCCACACCAGCCGGGCTGTACAAATTCTTGAATAACGTGTGTTCCGATCGTTTACCTACAAGGCCAGGCTTGCATTTAGACTTCTCTGACTCCTTGAAGTTCTACTGTGGATTCTGGCAGCAAGGGGAGGAGACAGCCCCCAGCCTGTGGCCTTCCCCCCTCTGCCCACCTATCACAGATGGCCCTGCCTGCATGAATGTGAACGCCCCAACCTGCACCTCCAAGGTCCATCCACGCACCTCTGCCCCACAGACGCCAGATTCCCCAAACAGCGGCCCCTTGGCCACCTTCGGGCCTCAGGTGGCACACTGCTCCTGTCTGTGCAGCAGGACAGTCCTGGGAAAGAGCCCAGGGAGGGGCTGGCTGGAAGAGCTCAGAGCCATTTGGGCACAGAATTCTTGGGACTTAAAGAGGAGAGCCACACGCCCTGGCCGGTTGCTCAGTGGTTAGAGCATTGGCCTGCAGTACAGAGAGACCCGGGATCGGTTTCCGCTAAGGGCATGTACCTCAGTTGCAGTTTGTCCCCGGCCCTGGTTGGGTCGTGCGGGTGGCAGCCACTCAATGTGTCCCTTTAACGTCGATGTTTCTCTTTCTCTCTCTCTCTCCCTCTCACTCTATCTGAACAAAAAATAAAAAAGTGTCCTCGGGTAAGGATAAAAAAAAATACAAAAAGAGGAGAGGCACATAGCTTGAGGTGGGTATATCTCCTTGGCCCTGCAGACACCTCCCCAAAGGAGGTGGGGTCCTCTAGAACAGGGGACTCCCCTTGCCCAGCCCGAGGGCAGGACTGTCTTCCTCAGCCGCCAGGGCCTGTGCCTGCAGACAGCTTCCTGCTGGGACGGTGGACAGGGCCGCCCCCACAGCAAGCAAGTGCCCCCCGTTTTCAAATCCCAGGGAAGAGCTGTGACTGGCACGGCTTCAGCCACAGGCCCGGCCCTGGACTGACCAGGGCAACACAGACGGCAGCTCGCACCCAGGAAGGCTTCGGGAGAAGCAGGGACAGCGAATTCTTTCTGAGTTAACAAGACAGCAGACAGTCCTGGAACCAGATGTGTGGTCTGGCACTTGTCAGAGAAGGCAAATGGTGTCACGTGCCCCGTTCCCTTACAGTAGCACCGGCGTGATAAGCGTAATTCCTTTTTCTTTTAAACCACCAAGTCCTTTACGTTTCTAGCTGAGCTCAGTCCGAGCAATGGAGCCTTGTTGCTCTGGAGCTGCCCGGACAGCGTGTCCGTGGAGCCCTCCCCTCCCCATTTCCACGTGTCCTCCCTCGGCATTCTCCACCCCCACCGCACCCCACTCCCCCTGAGTCCCCAGAACCCACAGTGGCCATCGGTGACCATCTTCCCAGGAAACGCCTCCTTGTGGGCAGTGGGGCCTTCCCTGGCCGGATCTGCTGGGCCTGTAGCTGCTTCCTTTAGCACCAGTCAGAGACAGCCTGAGAATACGCAGATTCGGGTGTCCTCGTTTAGAAAAAGGACACAGAATCATGTGAAAAAAAAAAGGAGACTATTTGCTTAGAATAAAAAGGAAAAAAAATCACAGCAAATTACAGATTTTTAAAAAGGAGATAAATGCCCTGGCCAGTTTTGTTCAGTGGTTAGAGCGTTGGCCTGCGGACCAGAGTCCTGGGTTCGGTTCCCGCTAAGGGCACGTACCTCAGTTGCAGTTTGTCTCCGGCCCTGGTTGGGTCGTGTGGGTGGTGGCCAGGCGATGCGTCTCTCTCGCATCGATGTTTCTCTCTCTCTCTTCCTCCATCTCTCCCTCCCGCTCTATCCCGCTCTATCTGAAGATAAATGCAAAAAAAGTCCTTGGGTGAGGATTTTAAAAAAAAGGAGATAAATACCTCCAGTGCCACAGATTCCAAAACAGAGCCTGATATCTTTTATCATTTAACTTTCTCACAGTTCACTATAACACCCCCCCACACACACTTTAGGGCTGCGTACTCTTCGGTTGCCTCTGCATCCTATAGTAAGAACAGAGTATCCGATTATCCCTCCAGCTGGCCCACGTTTGTTGGTTGCTCCCGGGCGTCGGGCCGCGCCCTCACGCCTGCACACACAGACCGCAGCATGCTGCAGACCTGTGCTCTGAAGGTGCAGCTGTCCTGTCCTGTACACTCCATTGCACACGATTCCCATCCAAGCCATTTGCAATGCATGGTGCCTTTATCATTGCATTTGCTGTGCTGTTCAGTGTATTCCTGAGAGGAGAACACTTCCATGTTGCCTGCACGTCAATGAAAACCAAACTTCTCCGGCAATTTTGCGTATCGGATGGTTGTCAAGTTTTCCTCAGACTTGCTTCCAGATTCTCACACTTCGAACCCTGAGTCTCATCCCCCCAGTCACGTCTGTCAGGTGCCAGGTGCTGTAGGACACATTCAGATCATCGTGCGACCTCTGTCCTGCACCTTCATGTCATGATGTGCAGTCGGCTGGCAGGTGATTACATCAAGATAGCTAGGAAGAAATGCACTATTCCCAGGTAGTTTAGTGGTCCCAAACCCCATGAATATGCTCCACTAAATTTATCTGACTCAACTTCCCCTTAGCCAGATCCTAAAAGTGTTCATGGCCTTCCCGGTGCCACGTGATGTGAGGTGTAGAGTTAGGGAGTTGGCGGCGGAAAGAGACAATAGTGGTGGCCAGTTTGGTGAAACCTTTACTTCTGCAAGTTCTACGAAGGCGTGTGGCTAGTGAACACATCGGGCCCCCCGTGGACTTCGGAGGGGCCCTTCGCTGTGCATCTGCCCCGGCCTGGTCTGTGCCAGACGTGCGCTCAGCCCTGGTGCTGCAGAGAGAAATGGAAAGCATCGTCTGCAGCGTGCTTCTGCCTGGCCCGTCTTAAGAGGAAGTGACTTGGTGGGAAAAGCCAATATCCACTCATTCTTTATCAGTGACCTGAATCAGGCCACACCGGGGTAGACTGACCTGGGCTTGGCCAGTCGTTTCCAGGACGATGCTGATCCCCAGCGTGGTCTTGGTGCCTACATCAAACACAGGCAGTCCCAGAATGCTTCCTTCCCGAGTCATTTCCAGGGGCGGTAACAGCGCTGCAGGTCTCCGTCCTCCGAGAGCAGTGGGAGGTCGTTTTCCTTCTTCCTTCCCTGACACCATCTCTGGGAGCCCAGGTTTCTTCCAAATCCCCGCCACAGACTCAGAGGTACAGGGTTTGGTCCGGCCTGTCTCTCAGGCCCCTAAAATCCAGGACCCCTTCCCTTTCCAGGATTGGCTGTGGGGATGTAAGATGCCGCAGTGACATGAGCGAGGCCTTGCAGCAACCTGGCTGGACACCCGGGAGCCCCATCCCTGGCCCGGCACCAGGACGGTTACAGACACAGAGCTCTCCTGGGTGGGAGAGCTCCGCCCTTAACCCTGTTAATTCTGATTGTAGATGAGCTTTGAGCTTGGAAACTGAAGGCCTGAATCCTAGCCCTGGCTTCTGTGCTAAGGGAGCTCGCACGAGTCCTCTGCCCTCTCGAAAGCTCAATTTTCTCATCTATACGATGAAGGAGTTGAACTATATAGTATCTAAAAGTCCCTTCTATCACTAATGTTGTAGACATCTATGATGTTGACAGAGAAGATGAGAAAGGACAGTATTTCGCTCAGCCTGTGTGGTTCAGTGGTTGAGCGTCAACCCACACACCAAGAGGTCGCTGGTTCGGTTCCTGGTCAGGGCACATGCTTGGGTTGTAGGCTCAATCCCCAATGGGGGGGCATGCAGGAGGCAGCCGATTGATGTATCTCTCACATCGATATTTCTCTCTCTCTCTCCCTTGCTGTCTCTCTAAAACATATCAATAAAAACATATGAAAAAATTTTTTTAAAAAGGAAGGACAAGTCTGGCCAGTGTGGCTCAGTGGTTGAGAATCAATCCATGCACCAGGAGGTCGCCGGTTTGATTCCCGGTCAGAACACATGCCGAGGTTGTGGGCCAAATCCCCAATGGGGGGCATGCAGGAGGCGGCCAATCGATGTTCTCTCTCATCGATGTTTCTATCTCTCTCTCCCTCTCTCTCTAAAATCAATTAAAAAAAGAAAGAAAGGACAATATTTCAACTGGATCATCACTAGTAAAAGTGCTCATGGGCTTAGCCTTCTACTTAATGCTGTGAGAAATACAAACTAATTGGGAGTTAGAGTTCAAACAACTTACACTCTAATTCAACATGCAAAGAAAGAGGGAAGTACAATTAGGAAATAAATGTCATTAGACTAAGGCGAGGAGGGGGGGATGAACTTGAGTTTGGTTCCACTAATGACTTAGTGCCTAAGACATTATAGATTGCAAAAGCTAACTGATGGCATCAAAGGCCAAGTACGTTTTGATTGTTGGTTACGGGCTAACCAATACT